CTTATAAAAAAAGGAGATGCGCGACAATTATTTTTCTTTCACGACAAATTCTCGACAATTATTCGACAATTAAAAAAGTATATTTCAATAATTTTTCTGCAAGTTGCCTTGCTAACTGTATGGAGGTGCTGTCGTCAGCAAAGCAACGACGAGTTTTTTCCAAAAGTCGTTGATATACAATAAAAAGAGGGTTGGAGACAATATTGATCCCTGGGGAACACCAGCGTTGATGATGAAAGTATTCGAGAGATATCCATTGTTTTCTTAACGAGCCTGTGTAATATTTTCTCAAGACTTCAGTTAAGTACCTGTTAAGTACCTTTTGAAATTGGTTTCAAAACTCAATTTCTTTGCATTTTGAAATTTGTTAACAAATCCGTGCCATTTCTTCATTATTAACAAGTTTTAAATTGTTTCATCTGCTTCACCATCACTTCACACCAAATTATCAAAGACTGAGTGCAGGGCCGTAGCGAAAAAAAAAAACCCCCCATCCCCCCATGGCGACGGCCCTGATTGAGTGAGCTAACCTGTGTAACGGGCTCAAATATTCCTACATTAAAAATTCACAATAATATTTATTTTATTGTCATAATGGTGATTGAACGGGTATAAATAAACCGTAACTTTACTGAATATTACTGGGACCTCTTTCATCTTCGAAGGCTTTAAACACTATTTATTTTGGCAATGCAAATATGTTTTGTGTACCGAAGCGAACGGGAACTAATGAGATAGCGATGATGATGGTAATGTGATAGATAAATATGAGGAATTTTGACATGAGCTTGGTTTTGAGTGAGAAAATTAACTTTTAACGAACGCCAACATGTCAGGATGATAATAACCGACACGTGGAGAATAGAAGTCGTGTGGTTGAGAATTGATTATAGGAATTTTACAAGAGTTCGTGCTGTAAAATGTTTAGAGGTTTGAAATTTAAAAGAAGATTGATAAATTCATGATAATAATGTTAAAATTATACAAAGTTATGAAACAATACTGTCTAGAAACTAGGTATCTCCTCTCCAACTCAGCGAATCGGCGGAATTTACGAAAAACAACGTGGAAGACAGTACCCACCTTTTGAATCGAAATTACTGTTGTTCTCGACTAGTTTTTCTTGTATCATCAAAGCGTAGTGGAGGTTATCGTCGGTCTGCGTACTCTGGCTGCACTTCTTCGAAGCAGTGGTCAGCGGATTCTCTTCGTCGTAAGTGACTCTCAGGATGTCTTCGATAACGTCGCAGCAAGCTCTAGCAATGTATTCGCGCGATTTGTAGTTAGCTTCGTAGATTTCAGAGAGATTATCGCGCATTTTCATCGCATTTCACTTGAATTTTGACAGCGAATCAAGAATCGAAATTGTCAGAATATTTGACAGACGGGTTGTACTTAGATTAGATGATCGGGGAGCTAGCCCATGGGTTGATTCACTGCGACCTCTTCAGATCTATTGTTATGATATGATACATTTATTGATCCATTCAGAAAAACTTACACAAGTTATGGGTCAAGTCACGAAACAACTCATATGGGTAATATATTAAATAGCCTAAGGCCCATTATCTGGTACGATTTTTGACACCATGTTGTACGATTTCTTGGAATATGTAGATCATTTTTTATTCTTGTATCGTGATGATGTACCGATTCATTTTTCACGAACTTATCTAAATTTTTGTGTTTTTTGAAAAGACATATACTCTGGAGAGTGGAGTGAATTGTATCCTGTAGAAATACACTCATTCCTTTCACGTGTCGTCAGCATATTAACAAGAGAAGGCTTTTGATGTAATTACAGGCAATCATTAATATAAAGCACAAACAAAACCGGACCCAGAACCTTGGGGTAGGTAGGTAGGTAGGTAGATCTGAAGTGAGTGGGTCTATTCGACCCTCCACCGCAACCCATAAGGGTTTATTCTGACTCACACCTATTCACACTCGGCCAAATAAACCCAGCTTCTTAACGAAGCCGATTAGTTTGTATGGTGAGTGGTCTTTCAGGTCGGATGGTGAGAGTACGGATCTGCCGAATTCAAAGAACCTGATTCGGTCCCCAGCGGGGCAGGCACAAAGTATATGCTCTGCAGTTTCATCATTTTCCAGACAGAGGCGACACACACTGTCTTCCGACAGTCCAAGTCTCTGCATGTGATGATTCAAATGACAGTGATCTGTAAGAAGGTCTGTTAGACATCGTAGTTCATCCCTACTGTAGCCCAACAACTGTTTGGAATCAAGCTTCGAAGGGTGAATAAACGCTTCGAAGTGAGCCAATCCTGGAAGATTCTGCCAGAAGTCCATAACTCTTCTTGCTATCCAGGTGTTAAGTGTTTGTTTGGCAAAGCCCAAAGCGATGCCAATGGTAGGTTCTGGTCCAATGAAGCCGCTTGCAGCACCCTTCATTGCAAGAGAGTCAGCAGCTTCATTGCCTTTCAGGCAAGTATGGCCAGGAATCCAAACCAGAGACAATCTGTCTTCCTATCGAGGAGAGTTTTTTTGGCAGTTTGCTAGCAATTTAGACGTTGCTCGGTGGGAGCCAAGAGCTTCCAACGCCGCTTGACTGTCGGAGAATATTTTTATTGACTTGTGAGTGAGGTTGGATTTATTCAATCTCTCCGCACACAATTCAATAGCGTAAATTTCCGCTTGAAATACAGTCACATAAGTTCCAAGGCAGGTAGATAATTCTGTCCTGGGTCTGCGACTGAAAACACCTGCACCGGAACCAGAAGGTGTTTTTGATCCATCTGTGAACCAACAACTATCTGCTCTTAATATTTCCTTCTTCCGCAGGATCCAGTCTTCTCTACTCGGGAATAGTACTTTATAAGGCAGTTCGTAGTTGATAGTTGGAGGCATAAAGTCAGAGGTCATTTCCAGAATGCTGTGACTTCCAATGCCAACCAACAGTCTGTTGCACTCTGCATTGAATTGATTTATGCAATAGGCAATGTGCACAAGTCTGTATGCAGTTCATCTAGCCTCTCTTTCCAGAAAAATGTGGAGAGGCGGTAGATCTAGAAGGATCTTCATGGCCGTTGACGGTGTGGTTCTGATGGCACCATTGATAGCCAGACAAGCCTGCCTCTGTACTTGATCATTGGTCTGACAATCATCACACAAATCCAATGGATTTGTTTGGAACCTAAACCCCAAGTTTTACCACAAATCCTTCGACATGTCCATAGAGACAGTCTGGCTTTGTGTAAAACTTTTTCCAAGTGAGCGTTCCAGGTGAGTTTTTTATCAAGGACAATGCCAAGATATTTCACCTCAGTTCCAAATGGAATGACCACACCATTGAGAGAAAGTGGCGTTAGATCGTCCAATTTCCTTCTCTTGCTATTAACACAGTTTTGCTGGGGTTGACAGACATCTGCTCCCTCAGGCACCAACTGTGAACAACGTCCAACGCGCTTTGGAGGATATTACAAGCTACCCTTCCCGACGTGGACCTTGCCAGGATGACAAGGTCATCTGCATAAGCTTGCAGATCAACTTTTCTTCTGTCGAGGGCATCAAGCAGACTATCCACCAGAAGCGACCACAGAAGGGGAGATAGTACCCCACCCTGAGGGCAGCTCCTGTTGACCCTGAACCTGATAGCCTCGCCTTGAAGAGTCGTAGTTGCAGTTCTGTTTACTAGCATGGCCAGTTATGGTCGATTCTATACCCTTTCTAGCCAGAGACAATCCTATAGATTCAGGTAGTGCATTGGCAGATGCTCCTTCAATATCAAGAATTACCGTGTAGTACCCCAATTTCATTGGGCATAAGTGTCGATACAAACTGATTTTGAATATTTTCTATTTTATGATTTATTTTGACACTTTGAGTACGATTTCGAAGATACGATTCGAACCATTCATGAGTTTTTATTCTAACTCCAAAATTGTATAGTTTTTGCAGCTCCTTGGTTGTTAGAGCCCATTCTCTAGCTTGATCTCTTTGATGAGACTCCGTAGCTTTGACACTGACCCCTTCTTATAGCTGGCAGCCCTTGGTTTCTCTTCCCCGCATCTTGCGTGTCTCAGCCTTGCTATCGCTTCGCATTCACAGAGCACATGCAGTGCGGATTCTTCCTCTTCTTGAGGAGAACCTGCATTGGATTTCTCCTGTCAAACCCAAGTTGATCATATGTTCCTTGAGTCGGCTATGCCCCGTTAGTAGACCCACCACTACCCTTACAACATTACATGCCAAGGAATGATTTGAAAACCGAATCATATTTATCTAGCCTGAAGGACATTTGATGTTCAGCATACCGTTTTTTGGAAATTTCACACCGGACACTTGAGCTCATAAACTCCAAATTTCTCCAACTTGTTCACTTTATCTTTGGCATTGAAAAGGAAATCAGATAACCTGGCCTGTGGTCTGAATACCACTTCCACATTGTTTTTTCTGAAGAAACTCGCAATAATCTCTGTTCTTTTACCAAAATATGTTAGAGTTACCATAAATATATTTGGTAACAGATTATGAAAACTCATTTTAGGTATAATATTTTGTTGTCCGTTGCCGTGTAGTACTGTCATCTTCATCTTACAAGGCCGTATATAACTTGTTATATTGTTGTTTCTGTTATTCCACAATAGCTATTACTTATGCAAGTGTTATAATGGAGAACCCGGTAGTGAAAGTTGATAAGTCGGAAAGGGTCTCAAGAAACAAACCAAGTTTCACCATAGATTGAATTCGCTTCACAATTTTATTGTTTTTTGTCGAATAAGTATCTTTCGAGTAATGGCACAGAAAAAAAATCTGATTTTTTTATGTCATTTCATATTGGCTGTTACAGAATCTTCTTTAGAGAATTCATATTATTGTTACGTTTTTCGCCGTGGGTTGGTCAATAATTGACTACACTGAATAATCAAACCTAACTTTACATACAACAAACAGTTCAACTAAAACTTCAACTATTTTTTGAATATCTATCGCCTTTCTAGATCACTTCGTTCCGTCGCAATCGGTAACATTATTCTTGCTGCTTCTAGAGCGGTAGGGTACATTGTGCATTCGCGCTCTCTTAGTTACGTCACGATTGGTTTATGGGTACCAGTGGCGGCCGGCGTTATTTTCTCTCGGTCATGATTTACAACATTATTATATTTATTTTGAATAATTCTGTATATTGAAAAAAGTTTATTCCGAGTGATTTTCAGTATAGATGTAAATTTCCTTCTAGTGTAAAATAAAACAGTGAAATAATGAAGATTTTTTTTGAAACTAATGCAAGTTGTCAGTTGTCAACAGTTTTCAATTATACCTTGACTAGATTAGGATACTAAAATCAAGTTATATCATACGCTATAAAAATCATTCGTGTAATTTTACAATAAATCAGAAGTGGTAATTTATGGATATGCCTTCATGTAATTCCACATTATACATTTTACAGAAATTGATTTTCACATTTCAGCATTATATGTATAGTACATGAATATGCACGATGAATAGATTGCAAATATTTTCGTGGTCATATGAATTTACATAACTCATCATGTTTATTCACATCATAAATAATGAAAAATGTTGGTGCTGTTACAGGTAATTTGAATGTTTTTATAATATCATTCATGTAGATATAGTTGTTCAATTGCGAAAAAATACATACTTGATGTAGGTATAATATGGAAATATGTTTTTTCCGTTAACCAGCTGTCGCACCCCTACAAACGACAACCGTCAGAAGTCGAAACTTGTGCGAGCTAAGGACTAACGAGGTCTTACATTTTACGTGTGATTCCTAACACGGGTTGGACGATAGCAAGTGAAAAGCGATCGTTCAGCCTGCGGCTTGAACCACCGACTAACACGGCGGTCGATTGGGTGAGTGTACAAAGCACCCACATCGAACCGACCGGCTATCGACCGGCTTCAAATACTGTGAAATCCTAGTAGTTATTTGGGGAATCTACCAATTCTGAGAAAAAATTTTCAGTTATGGTCATTTGAATTTCTCGTATGTTTCATAAATTTTTTATTCAATGAGCTTTTTCTACTTAAAATTTTATAGGATTTCATAAATACAGATAGAAACGCATTTTTTATAAAAAAATCATCATTTCTGTAAATCAAATATATTTATTTGAACACTGACATAAACGAAAAATGACGAAATTCTACATATTCTCTAAAACAACTGATTTGAATATATTATGGTAATGATGTGGAGTGTCATAAACTGGATTTTCAAAGCAAAAATATATTTCACTACCCTCTGAACGATTCATAACTTTAAAAAATATAATAAATAATCAGATATTGTGTTCACAATCTTATACATTGAAATAATGCAACAATACTTGGAAAACGTACAATAAAGAACATTTTGTAAACTATCGCAATATTCAAGTTCATAAGAATAT